TTTACAATGGGTCAGGTTGTTATCGGGTTCGGAAGTACTCAGTTCGGGTTGTTCTCGGTTTCGGGTTGTATCAGTTCGGCTTGATAACGGGTACGGTTCATTAACGGTTCTCAAACATGCAGATCGGTTCAGTTTCAGGTTTTGAAAAATCGAATTGAGTCGGTTTACGGTTTTAAAATAACTGGTTCTTATCAGTTCGGTTCCTTTTTGAACCAATTCGAAACGGTTCGGATTTACCAGTTTGGGTCGATTTTTGACAGTTCTAGTTTTAATATTGTCATTTGCTCATAATATAAAATCATGAGAGTACCAAAGTTGGAAAACATGATACTTAGATGGACTTTGCAAAGTCTTATTTTACCCCTGTACTCCATTATGAAATTCCTCTATATTCCATATCAGTGAGATCACCTTAAGAGTTGAGTTGAGTTGAGTTGAGTTAGAAGAAGATTTTACAGTGTCGCTAAAGTTGATTCTATATCATCAATTATAAGCCAATAACTGCTGATTGAAAACCCCATTTTCCCCATGTAACTTTATAAAGCAAAAGCAACTTAACATATTTTCCCCCACTTCCATACTTGTCCCAAATCTTTTCCTAGATCCATGTCAGTCTGGGTCGTCTGGCACATCACCCCACCCATACACAAAACCAATAAAAATAAATAAATAAACTTAAAATTTTCTCAATTTCTTCAAATTTTACAATTTATTTCAGCTCCTTTCCTAATTTTATTCTCATACACAATTCATTTCACCTCTATTCAATTTAGTTCAGCTCCAATCAGTTTTATTCGAGAGGTTGTTATATATACCCGTGTGCACCGTACACCCATGAATATTTGTTCTTATTGTAATGATTGTGTTTTCATTTTATAATCAAATAAAGAGCAAAAACTAACCTTAGGTTAGTTAGATGTACAGTGCACACCTGAGTGTATATTACAAATTCTTGTTTTATTCAATTCAGTTGTATTCAATCGGAACAGACCTTTAATAATGCAAATAAATTTTCGATATTACACTTTAATAACCTTAAAATTTTCTCAATCTCTTCAAATTTTACACTTAGAAGTTGTTCTTTTCAGCTTAATTTCAGTTCAGTTTAGTTCAACTCCAATCAATTCATTTAAGTTCATTTCCTAATTTTCTCCTCTCAAAAACAATTCATTTCAGGTCTATTCAGTTCAATTCATCTTCAATCAGTTTTGTTCGAAAGTTTGTTATATATACCCGTATGCACCGTACAAATTCTTAAATGGACCTGGTTCACAGTGTGATATCACCAACAGGAGAGATAATATAATTGTTTATTAATAAATAAAAAGGATACTATATTAAAATGGAAAAATGGAAATAAATAATCCCACCTTTGCCTTATCTGACAATAACAATCCCACCTTTTGATTATTACGAGATAATCTCACCTTTGTATGTCATCTTCTTTTAATAGACCTTGACTGGATTGTGACCGATTTTTATAGGTTATATGCCACGTGTTAGATTTTAATTGGTTCATTATATTTTTTTAAAAAATAATAAAAAAAAATACAGAAAAAAAAAACTGACCCACCACCCATCAACCCCCCACAAGCCACCGTGAAATCCTTACCCCAACCACCACCAAAGATCGGTCGGCCTCCCTCCTTAACGTCCGAAAAGCGCCGACCGACACCTACCCACCCACCAGGTGACGTGTTTTTAGGGGCTGAGATGGGGATTTTCGTTGCTGAGATGGGGATTTTCAGGGTATTTAGGGAGGTTGAGTAGGATTGTCGGTGGTTTTTCGGCAGTTATAGGGGTTAATCGAGGCTGGGATGGAGGTTTTCTGTGGTAATAAGGGTAAATCGGGGCTGGGATGGGGTGTTTTGTTGGTTTTTTCGGCGGTTGTAGGGGTTTTTCGGGGCTGGGCTGGCGGTATTCGGCGGTCATAGGGGTTTTCGGCGGCTGGGTATTGTTTTTCAAGGTGGTGTTTCTGGTGTCGGAGTTAAATTTGGGTTAGGGGTGATTTCGGGGGTGACTTTTGGTGGTTCCAGTCGGCGTTTTTGGGGGTTTAGGCTGGTATCTGGCCGTTTCTAGGTGGGCCTAGGGTATGGGGTAGGGGTTTCTCGGTGGCTGGGGAGTGGCTGGTGGCTGTGGGGGTGGGCTGGTGGATTTTTTTTTTGTTTTTTATTTTTAATTTTTTATTGCCTTTTTTTTGTTATTTTTTATTATTTTGTCCAATCATCAAGCCACATGTGGCTTTGAAAATAATTAAAAAAAAACATGTTAACCTGTTTAACAGGTTGTAGGTAAAAAAAAAAAAGCCTATTAAAAGAAGATGGCATCCAAAGGTGGGATTGCCTCGTAATAATCAAAAGCAAATGTGAGATTATTTATTTCCATTTTTCCTTTTAAAATAAAGGTTATTATGTAAAAGTTAGTGTGACATTATAAAAGTTATAAGATGATAATTTTTTAATGAAATTTTTAATATAATGATTAATATGAACAATAAATATCACTAAGTTAAAATTAGATCATTATTCAACATAATGTCGTATTTTAAGTTCATGATAACATTAAACCTTACACAAGTTTTAAAAAAGGTTACTATGTTAAAAATAAGGTTACTATATTAAAATTAAGGTTCACTATGTTAAATATAATGTCAGTTACTATGTATAAATCTTAGGTCCACAATAATATTATTATGGACCAGGTCCACGCAAGACTTTTTGTATGCATCGTACACTCATGAGTATTTGTTCTTATAATGATGATTGTTTTTCATTTTATCATCAAATAAAGATCAAAAACTAACCTTAAATTAGTTAGATGTACGGTACACACCTGAATGTATATAACAAATTCTAGTTTTGTTCGATTCTATTGCTTTCAGTCAGTCAGACACTTAATAATGCACATTTTCGATAATACAGTTAACTAACAATAATACATCAATAAATAAATGAATAAATATTTAAATCATATGAAGTGATGAATTATACTCTGTAATAATAACAATACAAAGTATTATTTTACTTTCAATCAAATCCTTAAACTCATTTTTCAATGTTGACAATCCCCCTTTTTTATAATAAAAAATAAAAATATACCAAGTAAAATCTTATTATGTACCATAACTTTCAAGTTTCAATAGTTAGATATATGGTACACACCTTGGTGCATATAACAAATTCTAATTTTGTTCAATTCAGTTGTTTTTAGTCGGAACATGCCATTTACTGTATAATGCACATTTTCGATAATACAATATAATAACAATAATACATCAATAAATATTTAAATCATTCGAATTGATGAATTATAATAATAACAATACAAAGTTTTTTTTTTTGAGGAGAATACAGAGTATTATTTTACTTTCAATCAAATCTTTAAACTAAAAAAAAATAATAATAAAAAATAAATAAATAAAAACTAAAACAAGTAAAATCTTATTACTTCCCATAACTTTCAAGTTTCAACATCGTTTCTAATTACAAGTATGTAATACAGAGTATATTTCAATATTTCATGCTATAAAACAGCACATTTAAGTAATGAATAAAAAAAATATTATTAGAATAAAAGTAAGCTTCTACTTTTTTTTCATTCAATACAAATTATAATCAGTGTGACAGGGTTAACTTTAATAAGCATTTCAAATTAGATATTCTAAATTTCAAAATCAAAACGAAAATTTTAACACATATTATGCACATATTATGCTATTTCAAAATCAAAACGAAAATTCTAACACACATTTTAAATTTTAAATTTTGGATTTTCCGCACATATTATGCTATTTAGTTATTTACGAGTAGTTACTAATATAATTTAATTGAAATTTCTTAATTAAATATGAAAATTATGCACTTTCAGAAATTGTATATTTACATTTAATTAGAAATTAGTTAGGAAAAATAAAGAAATTTTTTTCGGTAAGTGTTACTCCGTAAAATTTTATAATTCAATTCTTATTTTAAAACCGTACAAGGTTAATCTAGTTTATATAATATAGTCGCTTTACTACATTGCAAAAAACATAATGCAATAAAAGCAAAAGCAGTGCAATAGTAAATCAAAATCAATTGTTAATTAAGTTGGGGCTACTCAACCAGCATAATATGTGCAGCAGTTTTTAACAAATATACTCAGAATATTGTTCTAAATTCTATATCAAAGAATGTTCTACAGAGGTAAGATTGAAATACCAGAAGCTAAAGGCATCCTCTTCTAGCGATTCCCACAAATAAGTACTCAGAATATTGTTAGGAGATTGAAATTCACAGAAGAGATAGCGAATCAGCAATCTTGTCATGAACAACAGACTTCAAATATAGTACAAGAAGAAAAACAATTGGTATTACCCATGATTGCCATGACGTGCCTAAAATTCACAATTGCACAAGGGGATGTTTTGAAGAAACACAAGAGTGAGCAAGAGTAGTCTAAAAATCCGAGACAAGAGTTATCTGCTTATTCACAATTGCACAAGGGGAATTCTCTGAGGAGATACGAGAGTGAGCGCAAGAGTAGACTAAAAATCCGAGACAGAGTTATCTACTTAGCTTATTCGCCATGACATACGTAATACTCACATCATTTGCACTCAGCAAAAACTATCTTACGACATCAGTTGACAAAAATGAAAAAAACCCCAGCACATTAACTTCAGTCTTTTTCTCGTTGAAGGCAAACTACACATAAACAATTCAATCTCAACCAACCCAACAATCAACCCAACAGTCAACACAATCTTCCCAAATTTGATTAATTCTTGCAATCCTTAAATAAAATACAATAATGACAATTTTCTAATGTTGCACAAGTAATTAGGACTTGAGAGTGCTTAAACAGCCAATACATTCTCTTCCACTAATCATGGTAACATATAAACCACCACTGCAAAAATGAATAACATTTCATATATAATAAGAGGAAAATGCCATACATAGAGCAAAGAATCAACAATTGCAAACCAAATTTGATAGGAAGAGAGCAAGTTGTATTAATAATGGCGAAAATAAGACAATTTCTCATTTCTTCTTGTACCATTGAAGAATCAACACTATCCAAATCCAATTGAAAAAGCTACAATAACTGATGATTAATTTCTTTTTAGTTTCATCAAAATCACAACATCAGCTACAACAATTTCACCCCTATTCATCCTCATCATCCTCCTCCTCATCATATTTAAATTACAAAAAAAAAAACATCAAAAAAAAAAAAAAAAAATTGCAATTGCATTAAAAAAAACAGACTTTTTTAACTTCAACTTAAAATTAAAAATAAAAATTATGATGAATGAGGAAGGGGAGGGGGCAACATTTGACGGAGAGAAGTATGAACCTGGTGGTTCTGACTACCAATTTGACTACTCTGAGTAGCAGCTGTATTCAGCACAATAAAAGGATGTCCTAGAAGTCGAATCGCCGTCCACCGTTTCGCCGGTTCACGCTGCAAGCAACACCTGATAAAGTCACGAAACTCACGAGAAGCCGAAGCCGGCGCCTCTGGTGGAGCACTCATACAAATAGCACACATCAAGCTAGCCCAATCACCTTGTCTACCAACATTAAATGGAAATCTACCCAAATAGAATTCCAAAATGCTAACCCCAAAACTCCAAATATCACCAGCATAACCATCATACTGTCCTTGGTTCAGATCAGTATTAATCCTTTCGGGACTCATATACGCAATCGTTCCAACACTCGAATTACAAGGATCCATCGTTTGTGCTAAAATCCTACTAACCCCAAAATCAGCTATTTTCACCTGTTTGTTTGTGTTGATTAGAAGATTCGAGGGTTTGATATCTCGATGAACGATTCTTCTTCTGTGCAAATACACTAATCCGGAAAGAACTTGCCGGGATAACTCGGCAAGATACGATTCGTCTGCTATATGTTTCCCCTCAAGCGATCCTCGATCCATGTACTCGAGAAGAACCTGGATCTCCCCGTTATGATCAAACATATCAAAGCATTTCACGACATTAGGATTATCGACATCTCTGAGGATCTCGATCTCTCGGCAGATCTGACGGCGCACCATCTCTTCGTGGTTGCCGTAAATCACCTTCAAAGCGTAGATCCGAGAAGATGGGCGGTGGATTACTTGGTAGACTGTGCCTCCGGCGCCTGACCCGATCCGATTCTTGCGCTCTAGCTCGGAGAAGCTTAATATGGCGGCTGTGTTCGAGTTCGAGTTGGAATTCGAGTTGGTTGAGGTGGAAGTGGATGTGGGTGCGGAGGAGGGAGGGAGAGGAAGCGGGACCGCGAGAGCCGGGTCTCGTTTAGGGAGCGGGAGGGTTAAGTCGGGGCGTCGTCTAGCGCGGGACGACGCCGGTTGTGGAGGCGGATTCATTGATTGATAATGAATTGAAATTGATAAATGAAAACTAAACTATACTATATGTATAAAATATTTATACACATGATGAGAGGAGGAGAACAAGAACGCTAAATGAATAAAGGGTATTGAATTGGGAAATAATTATAACATGAGACCAAACACAAACACGAACACGAACACGAACAAGGGTTGATTTTGTTGGTGATGTTCAAAAAATCAAATGTTTGATTTGTTCAAAATTGGGGAAGGAAGAAGAAGTCATAAGTTGTTCAAGTAAATTGAAGGTTCGAGGAAGAAGAGAGAGGAGAAGAAGAAAGTTGGGTGAAAAAAGGTAGGAAATGAATGAGGGGTTGCTATCAGAGGAGAATCAAGATTTATTTAAACAAAGGAGAAAGGTGGTGGGAAGTGTGAAGGGTATCACGCGCTAAGGAAGGGGGGTTGTGTGTATGTCCAATGAGAGTCAAGGAAGGGTAGAAAATGTGAAGGAAGTTAATGTGGGGAGGATCTCGTGTAAGGTTTTAAAGACAATAAAATCAGTTTTTTTAGGGTTGTTTTTTTTTTTTTTTTTTTGCATTTATTTTTAACACATTTGTTTCATGAGGGTTTTGTGTATTATTTGGTATAGCTTAGCTCATTGCATGGGGCAATAATGTTGCTTTTTTTTTTTCTTTCCATAAGTAAAATAAAATAAAGGAAATTAAAACTAATGTTGTGTTATAAATGAAATGTTAAACTGTTGTGATTTGAAAAGATTTGGCTCAAATCTGATATTGTAAATATGAGTTGGCTGGTGATTTTTATGATGACTAAATAGGTAAAATCCTAGCTTCACTTATATGCCAAATGATTTAGTAGTAGCTGTCGGTAAAATTGTTTATCAGATATGAGTTTGAAATAGTTGTTTTAATGTGTCATTTTGTCGTATTATGTTTGTTCCTTACAGTTTAGCCTGAGAAAAAAGCGTGTAAAATTTCATAGACTATCGAAATATTGTTTGGTTTTTAATTTATTTTTTTATTTTTTGCATTTCCTTTTGACACATTTGTTTCATGAGGGTTTTGTGTATTATTTGATAGCTTAGCTCATTGCATGGGTCAAGAATGTTTTTTTTTTCCAATAAGTAAAATAAAATAAAGAAAAATTAAAATCGAAGTCGTGTTATAGAAATGTTAAACCAATAAGATTTTAAAAGATTTGGCTCAAATTCGATATTGTAAATATGAGTTGGTTAGTGATTTTTATAAAGACTGAATAGGTAAAAACCTACCTTGACTTTTATATCAAATGATTCAGTAGTAATTGTTGGAAAGATCATTTATCAGATATGAGTTTGAAATAGTTGTTTTAACGTGTTATTTTGTCGTATTATATACGTTAGTTTTGTACACTTTAGCCTGAGTATATTGTGTAAGGTTTAAAATACAACTGAAACAATTTTAGGGTTTTTTTTTTTTTTTTTTTTTGCATTATTTACTTTAACACATTTGTATCATGAGGGTTTTTAGTATTATTTAATAGCTTAGCTCATTGCATGTGTCAACAATATAATTATCTTTGTCAATAAGAAATACACAATAAAGAAAAATTAAAACGATGTGATGTTAATCTTGTTACAGACTTGTTAAACTGATTTGATTTGAAAAGATATGGATCAAATCCGATATTGTAAATATGAGTTGGATGGTGATTATTATGACGACTAAATAGGTAAAAACGTAGCGAGACTTTTATGTCAAATTTTTTAGTAGTAGCTGTTGGTAAGATTGTTTATTAGATATGAGTTTGAAATAGTTGTTTTAATGTGTTTTTTTTGTCGTAGTATGCTAGTTTTATACAGTTTAGTCTAAGTATCTCGTGTAAGGTTTCACAGGCAATCGTGACAGTTTTAGAGGAGTTTTTTTTTTTTTTTTTTTTTTAACACATTTGTTTCATGAGGGGCTGTGTATTGTTTGATAGCTTAGCTATTTGCATTTGTTAATAATGTTGGTTTCATTGCCAGTAAGAAAAATAAAATTAAATTAAAACCAATGTTGTGTTATAAAGTTAGACGGATGTGATTTGAAAAGAGTTGGTTCAAACTCGATATAGTATTTTTGAGTTAACTAGTAATTTTTATGAAAACTAAATTGGTAAGAACCTAGCTTGACTTTTATGTCAAATGATTCAGTAGCTGTTGTTTAGGGTAAAAACACCCTAGTCATGTGGACCAATTAAAGAGGCCCACGTGTCAAGCCTGGACAGGTCCCCATGGACCACTCACCGGCTGACACGTGGAAGCCTTAGATGTCAGCAGAATTACGGCCTTCAAGTCCCAATTCCCGAGAAAGCCGCCAAGCGGCGCAGCCCACCAAACCTAAGTCAGAGTTGTTTCGGGGTTTTCTGATGTCCTGCGGGAGAGTTACAATTCCGAGACTGGAACCGGACGCCTGTACCTGCAAAACAACGGAGACTCCTGGTGGTGGGAGCTCCGCCTCCAACGGTCAAGTTAGTACTTGATTAAGGAGTAATTAATGCGGAAATTAAAGTGATTGGGTCTCTCTAGGTGAGAGTGTTTAATGTAGGTAATCTGCTTTGTTAGCGTGATCAGCCTGTTATCCCTGTAATCCATGTAATCTCCCTTAATGAAGATTAAGGGAGGTATTTATAACCTTGGGAAACGTGCTAATCCTAGGTTTAGGTTAACCTAGGGCTGATTGGGCTTCCCTCGGAAGTTGGGCCTGGGTGGCCGGTTTCCCCATTAGGCATGGAGTATGCCACGTGTCATGACATAATAGGTCCAAGGTGGACGAATAAGCGTGTGCCACGTGGCAAGCCCTGACAGTTCCAACTGGGGGACACTTGGCAGGACCTGATTGGCCCACGTGGCGCATTCCGATTGGTGGGAGAAAAATCCCCTAATTATTTGCCCCTCACAGGTGGCACGTGACTGGTCACGTGTTACCTGTGACAGGTGCCGCACTGTAACAAGCGACGACCTGCTACAGGTGTCACTCGGCAAAAGGCCGAGAGATTCTCCTGCCCAAATTTTGAATTCTGGAAGTGACCCTTCGCCTTCTCACTTCGCCTATATAAAGGAGTGTTGACTTCAGTCATTTTCACACTTGAGAACTTTGTGAGAGAACATTCGGACCCCTGAACTTGCTCTGACATTTTGGACTCTTTCTGCCTACCGCCTGCTCTGACAAGCCGACTGCAAAGGATTTTCAGAACTTCATCAACCGTCACTCGTTCAGGTAACCGTCGGTTCTCTTACTCTTAATTGTCTCTTTATTTTATTCTTTTTTGAAATGGCACCACGGAAGCACACGACACGACCTAGGTTAGTGATCAGTCGGTCACCGGGGACGGCTGAATCTAGGACCAGGAGTGCCGCCTGCCCTTTTCCGGACCCATCTTTGCCCTTTATACAAAGTCCGACTGTATCTGTGTCTATGCAGAGCATGATGGCCAGAACAAAAAAGACTGCCAGGATCTCAAATTCAGACGGCTCCTCCCGCAGGGTGCCGATTAGTGAAACATCTGACCAGGCGCCAGATGTGGAAGTGAAACAAAGCGGCTTGAAAGCCGGCTGTTCTGAGGGAGGAATCAAAGTGACCCCTTCCCATTTCTCAGTTGACAATTCTTCATTCTCTCCTGCTCCTTTTAAAGGAGAGGAGGCGGGCCCCTCCGGTAGAGGGGAGGAGTCGTCCTCTTCGGACTCGTCAGAGGACGATTCCGAGTCTAGCTCTTCTGGCCATGCTTCTCTGGACACAGAAGAGAAAAACAGTCGCCTGCAAGAGGCGAGGCTTTCTCACGCAGTTGAGAAGGGGGACAATTGGGCGGAGCCATCCGTCTCTTACCGAGAGCAAAATACCCCCTACTACTGCACGGTACCTCGGGGCCGGATCACGGCCATGCAAGAGAAAGTGGAGAGCTTTATCGCAAACCACACAATGGGCCCCGGCTTTTTAGTGTTTTTGTCGGATCCAGAAGACACAGTCGTCTGGCCGGCTGGTACCAGTTATGATAGCGCCTGCTTTGGCTGCTACGAGGCGGCCATCAAGGTTGGGCTGCGCTTCCCATTACATCCGGCTGTTCAGCGGATCTTGGATGGGTATGAGTTGGGGTTATGGCAGTTAGCCCCGAACTCCTGGGTCAACGTACTCGGCTATGTGGCCGGGTGCGAACTGCACGGGGTGGAGCCGAGCTTCGAGGCTTTCGCCCACATGAACTACCTCAGCCGGACCCCTAAGGCAGGCGGTACCGGCTGGTATCAATTGACGAGCCACAGGGGCTACCTCATGACGAGAGGTAAAGCAAACAAATGGAAGGACTGGCGGTGCACATTCTTCATCATTGAGAGTTCAGACACAGAGCTGAACAAGCGCCTCAACAGGTGGAACAGGAATCCGCCCCTTCTTGCAGGCGGCCGCAGCATGCCGCCTGTTCCCCCCAAAGCTAAGAAAGAGATCCTGGATAAAGGACTCTTTAAAGTAGAGTCGAGGGTCGACTCTACTTCAGGGGTACGAGAGCAAGTACCCCTGCACTGCGTCCCGAGCTTCAAATGGCTCTACGACGAGTACTTTTTGGCCGCCTGTGGCCTCAGCAGTCGGTCCTCAAGAGGTAGTCGGCCTGTCGAATACTCTGTTGTTCCGTGCATTTTTGTTATAACTTTTATTAACTTTGCTGTTTGTTTTTGCAGCGGACGCTATGAGCAAAATTACCGCCTCCAAGACTGCGGCGGCCATGTTGCGGGCCTCCATCATGCAACAAGCTTCAACCGACTCCCCCCAACAAGGGGGCACCCTTGGTGGGCTTCAAACCTTTCATCCTCTTTTTGGAGTTGTGTTTATGCATATACTGACTTTTTTCTTCTTTTTTAGACGGGCGCTCCAAGAGCTTCTTCTTCCCAATAGCCGGACCCCAAGGCCCGGAGGACGACTGTTGCGAGCTCTCCTGGTTCTGCCAGGAAACATGTGGCGGCTGAGAAACAGCCGGCCACTTCTTCTAAAACTCCAGCTGGGCCGCCTAGAAGTATGAAGTTGTCCTTGTAAATTTTAGACTTGCTCCCTTTTTTACTAGGTCTAATCCGTTTGTTTATGCTTGATGCAGCCGGCCCTCAGGAGCCTGACTTGGTAGAGGTGGCCAAGTCTGTGATCAAGGCCGTCCCTCCAGCTGAAAGGGAGGCGGTCAGGGGTGTAGGCACCCTTGACCTAGACGGGATTGCAGGGGTCCTTGCTGAGGTATACTTAGCATATTTTTGAGTATTTGAATTCCAGGACACCTGTTTTCTTTTTGTTTGGAAACTGACGCCTGTTCCTTTTTACTTAGGCCCTGCTCCGAGTGAACGACCTTCGCAAGCCGCTTGACCGGAAGAACAAAGAGGTAAAGGCTGCAAAAGCTATGGCCGCCTCTAACTGTGATAAGGCAATGTTTCAAATTTCCCAAAATGAAGTTCTGACCATTGATATTCTTTATTATCAGGCGCAGGCTACCGCCGCTATCCGGGCTCTGTTAGAGGCGGCCC